GCCTCGCCAGAAGATGAAGAATACTTTTTTGACTTTGGCTATGTGATTCCGGACCCATTATTTCATCGTCTTCTTGCCAAGTGTTGGTGTGACAGAGATCCCAATGAACGGGTGAATATCAGAATCCACAAGGCAATTACATGTACTGATTAAGAATCGTTCAACATCACCTCACAAAACATTAATCCAGTATTCTTGGGACTTCTTTGTTGCAGGTCTTTAAAACCAGAGGCCGTTTCAGATTTCAGGGATCAAATTTCTACACCATTCAGCTAAGGAGGATTTCTGTCTCCCAGAACACAATTCAAGTGACCGTCTTGCATGATGGATACAACAAGTGCTCGTTACATGTAATGCATGTCAGACTGTTGTTTAATTGGTTTTTGTGCACATCAACCTACATCACTGTCAGCAAAACTTATTTCTTGTCCCTTTGTAAAGAACAATTCCAAAATTATTGCCTGGCTTGAATACAAAGTCCTATTGAGCAGCATCAGGTTTATGCTCACCTGACACCTTTGCATCTCAGTCCACACTTTTTAGTTAAGGAGAAAATTCCTGAAGCTGATGGCATCTCAGACTGATAGCCAGTGGTTATGAGAATATTCAGACTTGAACTCATCTCCCGTCTCTTGCATAGATCCTCCAATTTCTTCATACTCATCTGAAAGATATCCGTGGCAGGGATTTCCCCAACCTGCCGTACACCTGTGGACCTGCCTGCCGTGCCTGCAGCTCGGACAGCTTCCTGCGGATCTTGAAGGTTTGTGGTGATGACAAAGAGTTCCCCACGGCCAACATAACATTTGAGGCCTTCATGCCACAGGGCAAATACCATGAGGTTCATCTGACACCACAGGTACGTCACCAGCAAATACACCTTCCTTCCCAAAAGTCAAAGCTACCTCTCCCCGTCAAAAGAGCCGAAGAGGCAAAAACCAATCTCCTACACTAAAGCAACGTGTTTTACTACTTTGCTAGATGCCTCATTTTTTTCTAATAAGTATGTCAAACATCACTTCGGTTTTTGGCATTTGGAGAAAAGAGACAATACTCTGACAATTGAACAAGTTTCTGAATTTGATAAGTGTTCACAAAGTTTTCCTTGTGGAATATTCGTGGGCAAGGCAAAATTGGGCAGATAGCCCAACTTAATAATGCTCTCACATTAATTATATTTAAAGCTGAAGGTAACTTGTGGAAGGCGAAGAATCAGCTCTTCAAATTCAACACTCAATTCGCAAACAGATTGTCAGGTGTCTGAAGGTAAAATTTATGTCACAGAGCTTGTCAAGTTTCCAACTTTGCAATGTTTTGGAGGCCAATCGTGCTTTGATTCAAACTTACGGTACATAATGAGAAACTGTAGGTGAGACAAAATATTGATGCATGATCGTTTGCTTGCGTACACCCAAGTGTGTATTAATTTTTGATTCCTTTCAGATTTTGTACCGATGAACCAAATTTCTATTGGTGAAACATCCAATAGAGTGACTGTCATTACTGCAGGTAACAACTCTAGGATTGATATCCACAGGGACAGAAGTCTGTCGGAAGGCAGTTGTCAGAGTACCTGAAGAAGAAAGAAAACCCATCTTTCCCTGACCTACTGCATGGACATGTAGTAATTTCGATTCTGTAAAAATCCTTTGCACTGACATACGCTTTTGTAAATTTAAAAAATAGTTGAAAATATTAACCAGATAGGTTATGTAAGGGTTTGAACAGGTTGGTTGTACATCGCATCTTGAAGATTAATTATGCTATTACATTTCTGTATTTTAAAGATACTGCTGGCATTAATGACATAAGGTTTCATTTTCATACATGTTAGACTAATTAAAAAAGCCCACAAAGTTCACAAGAGTTGTGCGTGGATCTCAAGTTTAAGCTGTGAATCGTACCGACGGTCTTTTTGCACACATCATATGGGAACAGTGGGGCAGGGGTAGTCTCCTTGAATTTGGCAGAGGAGTATTTGAGGTGTGACCTAGGCCGAAGAAACAACCTGTCCTTTGGAAATCTTCCATTCCTCTCCTTGAACCAAAACAAACCGGCTATTTGCCTGTTCATGTGTAACATAGTTTCTTCAAAATAGCACAGCATGATGCAATGCAACACAATATATGGAATCTCTCCTTACAAGCTGGAAACTAGAGTGGGTGGTTTTTATGACGACTGTGATTTATGGGGCACTACACAGTTTATTTCCGTGACTGCAACTGGCTGTGTGTACTCTCAAGATAGATTTTATGTCTGTGCTAACATGGCTAAAGGTCGTTCAGATAATAGTATTGCAATACCTGGTTTTACAGTACTTAAAGGTGCATGCTGAAGGCATTATTACAGTGCAGGGTTTTCATTTTTCATCCTAATTAATATCAACCACACGGATTGATGGAGATTCTTGTGAGATTCACAACAAACACTGGTAGATTGTATGGAATACATCAGTTCAGAGGCTATTCACGAAATGCTAACTTTTTGTGTCTTTGAAGCAATTTATTATACCATTTGTAGAAATATTATCAATGTTTAGTTTTTAGGATTATTTAACTTTTTTTATTGTATGAAACAAATGTACTTTTTGTAGATGAGAGTTAATTTCACTGTATGGAAACTCAACTGGTAAAGGCAGATTAAAAATACACATTTAATGTGAGCTAATGAGTTAAATGGGTGAAAAATATATTTGACAAGCAAAAGTTGCTGGCAATTCTGGAAACTGCCGGTTAATATTGAGTTCACAATATATTTTCACAGTGAATGTAAGCCAACCCCTAAGGAATTCAATAGGAGCTGTAGAAACCGTTGATAAAAATGACACACACTTTTGCAAAAATGATACATTACACCCCCCCAAAAAAATAGTTCCGCTTCCTGTACATGACATCTGAAAACAGGGTTAGTAGGAGGGGATATTTTTAATTCTTTTTTAAATTCGGATTCAGTGTCAAACTAAGTTTCCACTGCTTAAAATAACAAGCAAGGAAGGTCAGGTTACATTTGTTTCAATTGAAAGTAAGGAACTCTATCTTAAAGGGTACTACTTGTATGTATCATTAAGTCCACTGGACCTTCTTCCACCACTTTCAAGCTAAAAATACGCATTTTTAGTCTATTTCCAATTTTGCGTATCCCCCCCAAAAAAAGATGAAACAAATTCAGGATCACTCTATGTAAGTAAGGTAGATCAGAAGACAGGTAGCATTTTTTTCTGGCTTCATTGAAATTCAGAATAGTTCTTCAAAGTTAAGTGGATGAATAAAAACTGCGACTCGATAGCAATTTGTTCTTAAGCCTATGAATCAAACACCCATGTTACTTAAAAAGCTACACCCAAAGCTATTATTTTTGATGAAAAAAAATTTTCATGAAATGAAACTATTTGTCAGCTCATGTACTTCTTCAGTGTTTGCAGGATAACTACTTTTCACCCTGAAGGCTTTACTCTTACTGGCCCAGGTCCTTTCTGCTGGGGCAGAAAGGGTTTTACGGATTATATTTTCCCATTTTGGCTGGGCTCCTCTGGACTCACGTGTGATAGCTTTGTGCACAACTTGCTTGTATATAACGTACGGGGACATGCATCTCAGTCTGTCACACGAGTGCAGTGCGCGCGGGTGAAGGTGTGGAAACTTTCAGAGACCTTTGACACATATCCATCTAATACCTGACGCCACAAGAATATTGAGGCACCAAGCCCACGGTTGTTGGGTGAGTCAGGAATTAAGCCCATGTGTTCTTTTGTGTGATACTCATGTACAGTAGTTGGAAAACATACTTTGACATGTGTATGGCTGTATACATTGTAAAATGTATTCATTTACTTAGTGTCATCGTGTGTAGTTACTTTACAGGGATTTAATTTCATCTGGGGACTTTTTAACCAGCTCTTGACACAGGTTTCTTGTTCTCGCGCTCGAACGACGGGAACAAGACCCAAGAACACTGTTCTCGGAAGAGGATCACACACCACCTCCTTGTCAGGGTTTTACAGGAACACACGGAAAAACTAGTGAGATTTTGATTTTTGAACAGCAGCAAAAAATAGAGAGATTCTATACAAAGTTGGAGACAATAGGAAGTTGTGCAAAATTAACATTAATTATTTTTCACAACACAGAAGTGTAACTCGAACAATGCCCACACCAATACATCCACTTATTTGGAAGTTTCTGATTAAAAAAAAAACGCCACCAAAATGCTTCAAACGGCGTTAAAAGTATCGGAAGTTTATATAGGGTCAGGAGTCATCCCAAGTTCATTTCTTTTCTGACGAGGACCAGCACGTTGCATAATTATAAATCAACGTAGCTGCAACTGTGTAATCCTGGCTTTCAAGACGCTGAAACTAACCTGACTGCAACGCGGGCCCGATTGTAGTGCCCTTCAGGCAGTCCAATCGCT